ATGTGGACAAGTTGCAACTTGATATTGAGGATCTCACCCAGCGATACACATTGTGCATTCGAAACTACCTCACTAGAGAACGTACAATAAGAGAGCAAATTGACTTCTTTGTGCCTCATTTCAACACCATCTGTTTTGGCCTCTCTCAATGCCCAGATGGCGTTCAGTTCGACGAGCTATTTAATATTATTCTGGATTCTTTATCTTCTCTCTATCGCCAAAATAGGGATCTATCACAGCGAATTAGTGTAGCCTCAGATGAAGACAAGCATGCATCTCTCGAGACAGAACAGGGAGATTCTGTTATTCTTCTGCCACCTGAGGCACTTGACACACTAACCAAATTAGCCAATGTTCTTAACCTGCCCAGGCTCATTATTGAGCTTCCCAAGGAGGATGCGGACTCGAAAAAGGTTGGCACAGCTTCCACTTTGTCATTAGATGCTTTTAAAAGTCTTTTTGAAGCCGTGAAGCAGGCCGTTGACGCTGCGCTTGAGTCGAGGTCCGAAGTAGATCGTCTTACTGATCTCATTTTTCGACTGCGCGAGCAAATTGCCAAATCTCAACCAGAGATTACTGGCTTGCCGCAAGAAAACGAATACTTGAAGGCCTCACACGCCAGTGAATCTTCAGAACTTAAACAACATCCGGTATCTACAGTAACTGCGATTGAGGTGGTTCGTGATGATAGCGGGCAGAAATTACAGAATCCTGTAATCCGAATCTGTGAGGCTGGTAAGACTGCACGACACAAAGCCAGGCCCATTGTAAATACAAGTGTCCGACTCGTGTCTCCGCTCTTGCGTGCTAGTCCTGCCCGACGTGTCTCCGCTACAACACTACATAATGAATCTATTCATTCAACCCTGCGGAGTCGACGATTATCCAAAAGTCAGCATCCACGTCCAAAGGTTTCGCGGTCATGCCGGGTTCCTTCTTCCTCAGCCGACACTATGGACCGTTTACAGGTACCGTCTAGGATGAAGCGATCGGTGATTTGTAAGGGTATTTCAGCATTGAATCCAGCTTTTGATCAGGAAAGCAACCCAATTCCAATGAATGCCACTTTGAGAATAGACCTAGAGGCTGACGAAGAGCTGCATGCGGAAGAGTGTCCTCCAGCCTCTATCGACTCTCCTCCCCTCAGAGACCACGAAACTGAGATTGAAGAATTGTTGCCTCCTGTTTCTCAATTAGACCTCTCATTGGAATGCCCTGAAGCGTTTGTTACGCAGGCAAGTCAAAGTCAGCCATCAACTTCTGAAACAGACAAAAATAAAGACATTTTGCTTAGTTTGACAGGAATTCGAACTGAGTGCAGCCGATTAGTGTCTGAGTTGTCGGAGCGTGAAATCGTAAATAATGCTTTGCTCGAGAAAATTGAGCATTTGACAATCTCTTCTGAGAGTGCAGCTTCCAAATTTCAGGCAATTATCAATGCACAAGCCAAGGACCTCTTGGAGCTTGGGCGGAACAAGGATGAAGTCTCTAAACAGCTAATTGAATTACAGAGTAGTCTGGAGGAAAGAGAATCACTTGTGAAGCAAGGGCTCCAAAGTTTGGGAGCAGTGCATCATATTTTGCACAGGTATATACATGCGGATAATAAAAGTTCCATAAATAATCAGCCTCTGGCAGCGACAGAGACCTCAAAAGAAATTAGCACTTATCAAATGCAAGTTAAAGAAGACAAAAGCATTTCTTCTCAGGAGATAGAAAACTTGATAAAGCAGTTAAAAGTGCCTTTGAGCAATTTACAACTCCTTTTTAGAGGCAAAGATGAAGATCCACCTTTTAGAAGCTCACTTAGATTGGTTTCAGACGCTCCTGAGACGTCGACAGTCTTGAGCCTGGAACCAGGTGCATATGGCTATTCGGGCACTATTGACGAATCCCAAGTTACTGTGCTGACTGATCAACTGCATACTTCTTTGAATCGACTACCAGAAGTTCAGGAAGTCGTCTGCCTCAAAGGCCTCTTCAACGATTTGGAAGAGAAGGTTGCGTTGCATTTACGAGCTGTCGCTGCATTGAAACAAGAATTAGCTGCCGCTGCAGAGAAACAGGAAAGTATAACTCGTGACTTGCAGACATCGCTTCAGGATAATGTCTTACTATCTGAGAGCCTGCATCAGTTGGAGGACGAACTTCGTAAGACGACAGCTCGAGAAATTCTGTTAACGAGATGCATCTGCTCTCTGGAGCTGATCTTCGAGGGCGGATCCCACGAAAACCCCTCTATCTTACCTGATCAGCTTGAAAACGCTCTTTCATTACTAGCTCTCGAGGAGCCGTGCAGCGAGTCTGAAATCATAATAAACTTTCTGCGCAAGCTGAAAGCAAACAGGATTACCCTATCTAATCCGATCGTGCCCGCCGAAGCATGCAAGCAAGAAGACAAGGCTTGTGTAAAGCAACATGATGAGCCACCGGTTGTGACGGTCTCTCAATTCTCTCATCCAGTACCCATATTCTCCTTAGTGCATGCCGTAGCACCAACAGAACTCGAGCCTATCCTACCGCCCACTATTAATATTAGCTTGCGATCTGATGCCATGTTAAGGCCTCATGGGTTAAATCTAAATTTTACGGTCATAAACGATCAACCGACTGAAATGGAATCAATGAAAGCCAAGATTCGTGAACTCGAGACTTGCTTGATGATCCTACAGGGTGCTACTAAGTTGACCACGACAAACCGATGGACCGAAAGCCTAGTGGATTACGCGCCTGAAGACATTATCACGTCACTCCACATTCAACCCTCTTTGGCTTATGAACCTTATGAAATGAAAACTTGTCCCTCTGGCTCATTTGATTATATTCCAGAAACCGTCTTACATTCATCCCTTCTTGTCAAGGCTATGCCGCTCACGATAAGATCTTTTGGTTTGCTGGTTGACGAGCCCAATCTGACCTACAGACGCATTAGTCTCGACCAGGAGGAGTCTCTGGGAAATCTTAGTTGTAGTGGCCCAAGCAAACCTGTATTGTTAGATTCATTCCAGAGAGCCAGTGGCGCCGGCACACATGGTGGCATCCGCCCTTCCGTTAAGAGTAATACTGTGGCATCGGAAACACAGTCATTAGAATGCACATTGGCCCTATCCGAAGTTCAATTAGATTCAACCTGGGTTAATCGGTTATCAGTTCCCGACTCCCCAAATCCAATTGACATTGGTGCCTCATTCCAGATCCCCAGTATTCATATGGGCTCTGAGAGTCATCGATCTTGTTTCAGCAGATTAGTAACCAATGCAGAAAGTGAAACGGAGGAAAGGCTCAAGACGGCATGCATTAGGTCGCGAGGAGAGGAACTTAATTCGGACGACCAGCAGGAGGCATTACCGTCTATAGCCATGGCTAGCAACCCCATTTTCATGCTGAACGCCGGGGCTGAACTGCATCCCGAGTTGTCTGCGACGTCGTGTCTACCAGACGGGATCGCGCCTTCTGATTTGTATAGCATTTCGGGTGAGCTCCCTAATGATGAAGCAAGTGAGGAGAATGCAATCACTGAGTCTGTGATTCGGGCTGAGAGTCAAGAAGAGGCACAGATCACCAAGGGCCCTAGGACACGCCCGCCACCAAACTCTACTTTTAGTGAACTTCTTAGCCTACGTGAACAAATGACTAAGATGCAAAAATCGAATGACGAACTGAGCCAAGAGCTCAATCTTGTCCAGACAAGGCTTCGTCTGGCAAATTCTCAGCTGGAGGACTTGGGAAGTTTGCAAGACATCCGGATTGCTTCAATGGTGGATTCGCTCCAGATAGCTCATTCGAAACTATTGCAAATAGGCCTTTCTGAGGATGGGTGTAAGATAACCGAGTTATATAGTCGGTTATTTGCCGAGATCGAGTTGAAATCTAGCCAGCATGCCGAGGCAGAGAGTAAGAATCTGCAATTTCTTGCCGTCAACCTGGAACTCAGTCGAGAACTGGATCTGTTGCGGGCAGAGAGAGACGAAATATTGGGACAGAAAATGCAGCTTTTGCAGCAGATTGATCGCAAAACTTCAGAGTTGACCTCTGCTCTACCTTCGGCTGGGCCTTTGCTGGAAAGATTCAACGCATACTCGAATGAGCCCCTTGGAGCTAATTCTATGCATAAAGAGATTGGGGAACAAAAAACTCATTTTGACGCGTTTAAGACAATGCTTGAAGAAGCGCACAACGTTGAAGATCAGGTCACTACAAAACTTGGCCTTCTCTGCGTATGTTTG